TTTCAATGAAAAATTTAAAACTTTTTATCAGGCATAAAATTTTTGTTTTTAATTGGATAACAAAAATTTTATTTATTGAATCTGAATTATTTTTTAAACAGATTTTAAAATTTTGATAAAAATTTTTATTTTTTTCGATAAATTGTTTTTATTCTTAATATTATCGATTTTAAATTAAGGTAACAAATAAATTTTCATTCCAATAATTTTAATTAAAAATTCCTACTGCAGATAAGATTAGGATTGCCGTCGAATACACAAAAGGGTTGGATTTAGAAAAAATACGATGATTTCGAAATACGTAGATGAATTATGGGTATTTTAAACACAGCCACACATATATTTTTCTTTTTAAATCCACATTATATGCACATTTAGAAAAATAACGTTATCGACCGCCTTAGATCATGCCCTTTAATTTCAGTGTTTTTCAACGAAACATTTTGTTTTTTTCCATTCCCAAAATGTTTTTGAAATTTTTGGGCTTAAGTACGTCCCTGAAATTGTGCATTAACTATATAAGGAACACAAAAAAAAATTTCCATTTAGTTTTCCGCTTATATTAAGAATTTTTGTATATTTCTCAATATTCCTCCATTTTTGGAAATATGAAATTATATTTAGCATTTGTTCTTATTTTCGTAAGATTTTCTAAAAGCTAAAAAAAATTTTAATCATAACTTTATTTTTTTCTATATTTCACTTAACATTCAATCAGCTTGCCGTATTCATAGTGGCAAGCAACACTCATGAGCTTGACAAAAGCAAAGATGAACTAGAAAGCATCAGAAACGATCATGCATACAGAATTGATTATACACTAGCAAGAAATGGAGAATTAGAAGAGGACTATGAATATGGAGATGAAGAAGCAGTAGAGGAAGGCGCTGACGAGGACGGTGAAGGTAAATAAAAATATTAAATATTAGAATTAATGACAAGATAATTTTTATATTATACAAAGGCGAAACAGGCGAGGAAGGAAAAGAAGGTGAAACCGAAGGAGAAACAGAAGGTGAAGGACAGAAAGAAGGTGAAGGAGAGAAAGAAGGAGAAGGAGAGAAAGAAGGAGAAGGAGAGAAAGAGGGTGAAGGTGAGAAAGAAGGAGAAGGAGAGAAAGAAGGAGAAGGAGAAAAAGAGGGAGAAGGTGAGAAAGAAGGCGAAGGTGAGAAAGAAGGAGAAGGTGAGAAAGAAGGAGAAAGAGAAACAGAAGAAAAAGATGCAAAATTTTGTGAAACTAATAAACAAATGGGTTTCCAATGTAATGGTTGTTCTAAAATGGTTAGATGCATAAAATCTGGTGAAAATTGGATACAAATTGATTTAGGAACTTGTGATAACAAAGCTCAACAATTTTGCAGTATGTCAGAAAGAAAATGTTCAGCAAAAAAAACTTGTGTTGATCCCACACCAACCGTAGATATTGAATTTCAATGTAAAACCGAAGGTATTTTTCCAAATCCATTTGATTGTAAAACATATTATATTTGTGCAACACCATCTGTATTTGCAATCACCACAAGAAAAATGAATTGTCCTGAAGGATTCGCATTTAATCCATCAAGAAATCAATGTAATACAGCAATTTCAAAATCGAATGCTTGCCAAAAACCACAATATACTTGTAAAAATGAATTTGATATGGATTCATGGCCTCTGAATCAAAATATATTTTATTTATGTAAATATAATAAAGACAAAACGGTATTATATCCAGAATTATATAGTTGCGGACCAGCAGAAATATTTGACAGTAAAATACAAAATTGTGTTAAACCATAATAAAAGATGAAAAAAAAAATTTTGTAAAATTAATAATTAAAATATTGGAAATGTTAACAATATAATTAAAGATTTTAATAGTTTAAAAATAAAGGAAGCACTTATATGGGCATACCTAGATAAATAAAACTGCGTTTCTGACAGCAGAAAGCTGCTTCTTTCGTATATTTTGCTCAAGATACCCGAATATTTCCTTTTATGGATGGCAAACTGATAAAGTTTTTTCTCACAAAAAAAAAAAAATTATTTATCAATGCCTAGAAACTGCTTAAATTTAAAATTGACCATGTGAGAGCAAAACGATGTAACAATTTTGTAATAGACGTACTCAAGATAACGGTTTTTACTTTATAAAACAATTTTATCATTGGAGAATTTTCCAATATTGTTTTTCAGTAGCAAATGCAAAGCGATTTATTTTCTAAATTTTTTGAATTGAAAGTTTTTGTTTCGATACAAAATGTCAAAAACAGCCCCTTTAAGATTTTGCGCGGTCAAAGAGGATAGAAGTTAATAGAAATTTTCTTCTATATGCGTATAAAATTTTGGATCTCTATTTTACTATGTATAAGTTTTGTAGAGACGCACGATTTGAGTAAAACCCATTAGCAATTTTTTTTTCCAATTTTTAATTTATTGACAAAGTGCTCAAAATAACTGAGCACATATTTTAATCACAAATAACTTAATAAAATCACATATAAAATTATAAGAATTTCTTGAATTTCCTTTTTTTTTTATTTAAGTGATACGAGTAATAAATGGTAACTCGTGTGTAATTTCGCTTTTACTAATGCAATTAATTTTTTACTCGATTTGGTAAAAATTAAGAAAAAATTTCTTTATTTTTAGCACTTTTTCAAAAGTTTTTTTGAAAAAAAAAAGCGCTTATTAGTTTCACTCTGTCTGTTTGTCCGTCCGTCCTCCACGGATGTTTAGAAAACTTCTACACTCTTAAAGATAGAAAGTGAAATTACACCATACGTACATAGATCTTTACTAGAAACTTATTTCTATACAAGAAAATTTTTACCTATCTCCCCTCCTCTAAAAGTTATAGCCCCAAAAACTCTAAAAATGCATTTTTTTAGTTAGAAAACCAAACTAGAAACTTTTTGAAAAGTTTGCAAAACGCAATTAGCATTTTGGCAGCTTATAATTTAAGGAACTGAAAGCTTTTACAAATTTCTATAAAATGTCATGCTATTAAAAAATATAATTAATTTTCTTAACTCATGTAATTAACCCTTAAATTCGAGCATTGTGTTAACATCTCTTTAATTTTTTTTTTTGTAATATTTCAAAGATTACTTAAAATGCTTATAATAAATACATGCAATCTTTAAAATATATTCGTATAAAAATGAAAGTAATTTTAATAACGTAGCTAGTTTAACGCTAGATTGTAATTAAAATCAATATTTTCAATCGCTGAAAGGAAATGTGCTACATTGCAAACCATTTAGTTTGACCCATTTTTATTTTATTCATTTTCATTATCAAACACCTTTTTAGCGAACGTAACGTAAAAAAATCGTTTTATTCACTAACCCGCACTTAATAAAATAATGTATGTACATACAAGTGTGACAGGGTGAAATAGGGCAAATATAAAAAAAAACGAATTTGCAAATTTATTATTTTTTTCATTCATTAACACTTTAAAATCTTACATCGACTCCCTTTGTCAGCGTTTATGAAATAAAAATTAATTTTCGTAATGACTTCACAAAATCAAAAGCAAATATTTATATATGCATAGCGATGATTCAACATTGTTTCGTTAAAAAATTTTATTTTTCCAATAAAAAAAACAAAAAGCTAACTGATAACAAACTATCATTCGCAAAGTGTATTTAGATTTGCGCAATATTTTTATATTAATTCAGGAAAATGTTTACGGTTAAATAGAAAAGTAACGAGAAATTGTTGAAAACTTTAATCGGTTTAATTCACAGTATATCAAAATACAAAATACTCAAAACTATTTCATACTACATGAATAAATTTACCTTATACCGCAGGAGTCCTGCGAAACTACACAAAATTTCGACTAGAGTAATTACACATAGTAGGATATTGAGTGTAATTATACATTTTGTACAAAAACTAATTCACAACATTGTTTATCACTTTATTTTTACAAACAACCAAGTTCCAGTTAATTACACTCTCTACCAATTGTCACTTATGAAGCAACAAAAACAAGATTGAAAGTAAAACTTTAGTACAACTTTTTTCATACACTGCAGGCCGCATAAATAAAGTCATTAAAAAATATTATTTTTAGGCGATTTTTTGAGATTATCTTAGAATACTTAATATAAATAACTAAAAATTTCTCATTAATACTCAAAAAAAAGGCTCATAAAATTCTGAAAAGTTTACTTAATTCATATTATAATTATGTGTTTCATTAACCCAAATGGTACACATAAGCCACTTAAGCCCGTTGTAATACCTGCGCTCTTCTTTTTCGCCCTTTATTAAAACCAGTCCGAGCTGCACAAAAACTGGCTGAAATTCCAAAGGTTCACATTTGCTAAGTTTGTAATGCGCCTTACTTTTATAATACTCAAGAAATTTCCGCCTCTTCAAGACCGTCAAATTGTATTAGTATTAATAAGCAATGCAAACAGCAGAGATTCGAATGACTGATACATATATAACGTAGTAGTAGAGTAGGAGTTTCCAATTTCTCAATACGCAAATATTCAAATGTGCTCAAAGCACATGAATTTTTCCGTATTTTAATTATGAAATATTAAAATAGAACATGTTAATAAAAATCTTTAAATAAACTGTTAAACAATACTTGGATTAAATTAATTCACACCTTTCTTGATTCGGCCTATTCTAGGTAAAAGTACTCTAGTATTAACAATGTTACAAATACTTCATTTTATAATTTATATAAATCACAAACATCTGCCCAAAAAAACGAGTTAACAAAAAAAAATATTTTATAAATACTCAATTTTTAATACAAGAGTTAAAGAAAGACGTATGACATAAAATTTATGCAATCATTATTATATAGCACCTCTCGATGCTAAAAATATTTACTTACCAAATTGTCACATCATACAATGAATACAATATGAATGATCGAATTCACATAATATAATTATCGTTATTATTATTATTTATATTTAATATTAAAAACTCCTTCCTAAAAATAAATTTTTCAAATATTTTCACCAAAAATTATAAAATAATTTCAATTAAACTAAACGATCATTTTGAACATTTTTTTAGTAAATCTCGAACAATTGTTGTAAAATGTACTCAACAAAATCTTTAATATTTTATATTAGTTTTTTTATATTAATAGGATTTTTTGTCAGTAATGGTAATAATAATAAAAAAAAAAAACATTTAAATTAAATAATTTTTATTAAATTTTTCTTTTCTATATACTGCAGTATTAACTTTTCAATGTTATAAATGTACAACTGAGGAGACACCATCATGCCATGAGGAAAAATTTGATCCAAAAGAAACTCCAATTGTTGATTGTTCTAAAGAAGAACCAAAGAAAAATTCAACTGGTTGTAAGAAATGGTTAAGAAGAACTGATAAAGTTTGGATTCGTGAATGTATTTATGATATTGATAGTAGAGATACAAGTAAAATATGTGGTGATGTTGCATGGGATTGGAAAACATTTACAATACGTGGTGCTAATTATGAAGTATGTACAACTTGTTCTAATAATTTATGCAATAGTAATGATAAAACATATTATAAAAAATTATTTAATTAATTTTCATTTTCAATATTTGTGATTTATTTTTATTTAATTAAATTTTATTGTAGTTTTTAATTATAAATATTATTTTGTGTTAAAATTGTATTAGATTACAACAATTTTGTTTGATAATAATCTTAATATTATTTAGTAAAAAATAAAAAAATTTTCTATTAAAATAAGAAGAAATTTTATGAATTTGAATTTTTAATTTGGAATAAATATTTCCTTTTGATTTGGCAATATCAACGTGTTAATTGCATCAAATTAAATTATTGTCATCCTAAATATATGCAATATTTTTCAAATTTAATTAATTTGTAGTATTTATGATATTCTGGCTTGAACTAAAGATGAAATTCACCATTTCTTAAGACTTTTAGCTGCCAAATAATTTCAAACCTTTATTTTCAGTATCTTAGAGATTAAGAAATTTTACATAACGAATTCTTTTCTTATAAAATAATTTTTCCAATTAAATATAAGAAAAACTTTTATCAATTTGTTATATGAGAAGTTTTAGCATAATTAATTTGCTTCCTAAAGGTAAAATTTAAATACTAAGCTATAACTTAGACTGAACACAGTTCAGTTCTACTGAATATATTAAATACATTACTGAATACTGATCTATACTGAAAATATTTTGAATATTATCCCTCACTTCAATGAAAAATTTACATCTTCTTATCAAAAATAAAATTTTTGTCATTTATTGGATAAGCGAAAAATTATTAATTCGATTAAGTCTGAATAATACTTTTTTAAGCAGATTAATTGTTTCGATAAAATTTTAGTATTCTTACGAGTAATATACTTATATATTATCGATTTTAAATTGAGGTAATTTTATTCATTTAATTATAACATTTCAGTAGTTTTAATTAAAAATACCTACATCAGCAGATAAGATTAAAATTAGAGTATAGTTACCGTATATGCAAAAGGGTAGGCTCCAAAAGAAAAAAATTAATATGTGGGAAAATAAAAATTACCGTATTTTGAAATTTGAGGGAAAATTTAATAATTTCGAAACACTTAAACGACTTATGTGTACGACTCAAGTACGTCTCTGAAATTTTGTTGACTATATAAGGAACACAAAAAAAAAATTCCTTTTAGTTTTCCATCCGCATTAGGAATTTTTCAATATTCCTTCATTTTTGGAAACATGAAATTAGATTTAGCATTTGTTCTTGTTTTCGTAAGATTTTCTAGATATTAAATAAAATTTGAGGCGAAAACTCACCTTTTTTCTAAATTTCATTTTACATTCACTCAGCTTGCCGCATTCATAGTGGCAAATGACGTTCATGAGCTTAGCAAAAACAAAAATGAATTAGAAAGTTTCAGAAATGATACTGCATACAGAATTGCTTACACACTTGGAAGAAATGGAGAAGTAGAAGAGGAGTATGAATATAATGATGAAGAATCAATAGATGAAGGTAATGACGGGAATGGTGAATAAGGTTTTATTAAATATTAGAATGATGAAATTATCCAAAGGCGAAACCGATCAGGAAGGAAAAGAAGATGAAACGGAAGGAGAAACAAATGGTGAAGGGAAAAACGAAGGAGAAGGTGAGAAAGAAGGTGAAGGAGAGAAAGAAGGGCAAGGAGAAAACGAAAGAGAGAGTGAAACAGGAAACAATAATGGAAAATATTGTCAAGCAGTAAAACGAGTTGGCTTCCAATGTGATGTTTGTTCAAAAATGGTGAGGTGTATAAGATCGGGTGAAAATTGGTTTCAAATTGATTTAGGAACTTGTGATAACAATGCGGGACTATATTGTAGTAGTTCAGAAAAAAAATGCACAACCAGAACAGAGGTTTGTGTTAAAGTAAAACCCGTAGGAGAAATTAAATTTCAATGTAATTCTGAAGGTATTTTTCCAAATCCATTTAATTGTAGATCATATTTTATTTGTTTGAAACCATCCGAATCTGTTATCGCTCAAAAGAAAATTGATTGCCCTAAAGGATTTGCATTTAATCCATCAAGAAATCAATGTAATATTGCAGCATCTAAATCACTTGCTTGCCAAACAAAACAATACTATTGTAAAAATGAATTTGATATGGGTTCTTGACCTCTTAATCAAAATATATTTTATTTTTGTAAATATAATAAAGGCAAAACTGTATTATACCCTGAATTATTTAGTTGCGGACCAGGAGAAATATTTAACAGTGTTATGCAAAATTGTGTTAAACCATAATAAAAGATGAAAATACTTGTAAAATAAGCAAAATAATAAAATTTTTAAAATGAATAATTATAAAATCGAAATATTAATAAAATATTTTTTGAAAAAAAGTTTGAGATTGCTGATAAGCTGACAAAATTTTAATTTTTTAAAAGAAGACCTTAAAATTGTAGCTTTCGTTTTGGAATAGAAAGCAAAAAAAAATTTCTTCTCACAAAATAGAATATTTATTAACGCCTAGAAGGTGATTATGTTTGAAATTTACTATTTATGATAAAAACAATACTAAATATTTAAAAACAGACGGACTCAAGATAACGCTTATTTTATAAGGCCGTTTATTGTAAATTTTTAATTTAAGTTTAAAAATTGGTACTTCGGTATAAAAAAATTACCAAAAAATGACATCTTTAAGTTGAAAACAGAGCGAAGGCGATTTTAAACGGCGAAATGTTACAATTTATATAGTGTAATATGGCCTAAATTCGTATTTTACCGCTGACAGTTTTATTGACGTAATCTGTCTCGATGTTTGTGTGACATTATATTATGTAAAGTACTGTACAATTGATTTTTTCGTTCCGGCGTTGTACCAGACTTCTTCTACCGCGGTATACCTTATTTAGAGTTTAAACAAAAAATGACCGTTAAAAGTTACCGTTATCTTAAAAATCGGTTTTTTAAAAATTTTTGATGTAATTTTTCTTCTAGACCGCAGGTTGTAGGTGTCTGAAATTTTAACAGCTTTTACACACTAATAAATGATTCATTTCGCTAGAAATCATTTTTTCTAATTCACCCAATTAAATTCGAGCATTATGTAAATTCGTTTCTCAATTTCTTTTTTGTTATATTTCAAAGATTACTTATTCTAAGAGTATGGAATCATTGAAATATATGAAAGACAGTAATTTTAGTAATGTACGAGTAGTACATAGCTAGATTGTTTGTCACAGCAATATTTTCAGTTTTTGAAGGGAAAAATGCTACATTTTCTTCATTAATGTATAACTATTTCTCAAATAGGAATACATGTTGTAAAAGATAGTTGGTTATCATTTTTACCGACCGTATTGTGTAAACAATAGGTAAGTTATGTGATGGCAACAAATTTTGCATATCGAGTTTTCGGTGGGAATGCACTTCTCCATAGTAGGGAAGTGTAAGTAAACTATTTTTAGTAACCAGTCGGTCCGTCGGTCTGTCGGTCTGTCGGTCTGTCGGTCTGTCGGTCTTTCGGTCTGTCGGTCTGTGTGTGCATGCGTGTATCTCAAGTTCTGCTGAACCGATTTTGATGAAATTTTATATGTAAGTTTATTTCCACCATGGCACGGATTGATCAACTTTTGGTCCGCAAAAATTCCTAACTTTTGGAAGAAATCAGGCATCAGCAACTGGACATTTACTACGGAACACATAAATTTTTTGGAAAGATCAGGGCTCGAAAACTGATTTGCGGGCCGATTTTACATTTTTCACCATATCTACGGAACGAATTTATGGAATTTCTTGAAATTTGATATTTGAGTTCTGGTTGTTTTCTAAACTTACTGGCGAGCATTTCAGGGAATTTGGGTAGCACAATTTGAAATTCGAGTAAGAGCCAAATTTACATTTTTCTAGGTATGTTAACTATAAGCTTACCAATGCCCTAAAATTTGGAAAGAAGTATTTAACAGTAATTTTTATAATATTCTGTAACATTTTCACTTAATTAGACAATACACATTGCGGTCAGTTATGCGCTGACCACATCAGATTCTTTAATATAAAATTACAATTTTTTTAATGAAACATTGCTGAATCATCACTATATGCTTATATCTTATTTTCTATATAAAAAAATAAGCTCATATTAATTTGAAACAGATAGATAAACAGTCCATGCCTTCAATAATGCTTTATAAAAAGTTTAAGAAAGCTATGAACACGATTGTACTTACCGTCTCACATCTTTCAATAACTTTACATTGTAAAAGAAAACTGCTAAAGCTTTTGATACATTTTGGAACACAATTTTTACAATATTAATATCTATTTTGACGTTTATTTGAAAATTTCAATTTTTAAGTTCTGTGGAAATGTTAATTTTTAACAAACGTTACCAAGTCATTAAAAACATAGTACTTTTATACTGCATTATTATGTTGAAAATATATGCTATACCAATTAAATAAAATTGGTTATTTCTGGCAAAAGTTTATAGGGCATGTTAAAGAAAAGCGTGATCGATTTTTTCAATACCCACTACGTACAGAACCAATTTAGGAAAAGTTTACAATATCAAGAGCTTTTACTAAACTTTTTGGAATGTGATACTTTGTAAAGTTTACGTTGTAAGCGCATTATTGAAGTCATGGAGTCTTATATAAAATAATTTATCGTTTCCTCGTTTTACGTTAAAAAACATTTACAAAATTAATAAGAAACTTTATTTTTTAAATAAATTTTTTATATTATTCATACGCAAAATTATATAAATAAATTCTTTACATTATTATATTAAAAATATAATTATTATTATTGTTTCTTGTAAAATCAATATTAACTATCAGTGTCGTTATCCTTATAAAATATATGAACGTCTGCTACAATTCACACCATTATACTTCACCATCATTACATAAATCTGTTTTACATGTTGAACATTTTAAATTCTTTGTTGTATCATCAGCTTTCCAATTACTACAAATTGATGCATCATCACATTTACGATGATAAAAATCACTTCCTAAATCTAAAAATATTTAAAAAAAAATTTAATATCGTAATATTTCTGAATTAAATTAGTTGTTTTTTATTTTTTTAAAAAAAACTCACATGTATAAGTTGCTTTAACACATTCCTTATTACAATCTTTTGCTTTCACTTCATTTTTATTAAATTTAGCACCACAATCGCTATCCTTGAAATTTATGCATTCATAACATTTTAATGAGAATGCTAAAAGGACAAAAAACAAAATTTATAATTTAAAGCATATTAATTTTTTTTTTTTAAAAAGAAAAATAATTTTATTTTTATTATTTTATATAAGAGCACTTAAAACAGCCATGCCCATTAATTAAGAATTAATCAAATTATAATTTATTTTTATGATCAATAAATTTCTTAATTGAATCTCTATTATTTCTAATTTTTGATGAGAAATTTTTATATTTTATAACAATTTGTTTTTTTTTTATTATTTTTTATTCGTATATAAAATTCATTTAATTCTTGTTTTATTTTTTTACCAATTTGAATTATAACAGATAGAACAAGTCCTAAAATGATTAAAACTTTCATTTTGTTTTCTTTATTTTAATTTTTATATATTAATTTTATTAATTTATGAATTTTATTTTATTTAATAATAAATTATTTGTTTTTTTTTCCGTTCTTCTATTTTTATTATTTAAAAGCTATTCCTTTGACTCTTTGAAGATTTCAATAGAACAAAACGGCGGAATTGTGATTTTATTCTATTTATACCTAATATATAAATTATGTTAAAAAATTTAGTTTTCGGATCGTATATTAAAATATGAAACAATTTTGTGGAATTCATTTCTATTAATTATAAAAAATTAGTTTATATTTGGTTTGTGTACGTTTCGATTTAATTTTTTGACTAATTCTAATAACCAATACAATAATTGAGCCCATCTGACACAATGTTGACAAATTAATAAATAAATACTATTTTTTTTCCTTCTTCACTCCTAGGAGGAGCATAGGGCTAGTGCATGATATCATGCCCTAGTTTCATAGCGTCATAGAGTTAATTAGGTTGGTGACTAGCCTACCGTAAATAAATAAATACTAAATAAAGACGAGAAAAATAGAGTTAATCTTGTCAACTCTGTGATACCCGTACGAAGTTGTTATCCTATGTGCGAATAAATATGCCATAACTGACTATGGGGTAGACTATGATTTTAAGTTGCCGTATTACCATATTAATTTATGCAAAATTTCAGTACTATGTGTTTTTCAAAAAACTGTGTGTGCCAAACTACTATTGAAGTTATATGGCAGCCACCAGAAAGAGCCAAGAAATTTTAACGAATTTTATCAAGGACATCGGCCCTACTAGTATATTTGCTTGTGTTAAATTTCAATACCTCAGTTTTTATAGTTTCTGAGATATAGCCAAATAACTTTTGTATTTGTATGACAACTACCAGAAGGGGCCAAGCAATTTCAACGACTTTTATGAGAAACATTGCCCTACTAATATATTCGTTTGTGTGAAATTTCAATATCACAGCTTTTATAGTTTCTGAGATATAGCCAAATAAATTTTGAAGTTCTATGGCAGCTACCCGAACCGGTACCCCGATCATGTCCAACTTAAATAACTTCGAACATACGTTCGTACGGATACAATAATGAGAATTAGAATTGACAGCACAACAATTCTGTTGAACATTAGCAATTCTAGTTAGTCGAACTTGGGCTATTATAAGACATAAGTTACTTCGGAAGACCATTCTTCTGTTATAATTATTTTATAAAGTCTCTTCTGGATTTCAGTAGCCTTTCCACTACATTCTTCTTTAAATAGGACCACAAACTCTCATTTGAATTGAGATCTCAACTTCGGGGGAGTGTGTTAAATATTTTTAGGCAGCTATAAAGCAAACAGCTTCTTACAAAATAAAATTTATGCTTTGGGTTGTTATCCCGATAAAATTTATAACGACCAACAAGACCAAATTTTTCGACACTGTTTATACCAGGTGCGTTTATGAAATGTCTAGATATTGTTGCTTATTGCATATGACCATCTATAAAAATCAGGTCTACTACATCGTGGCAAAATACACAAGCCCAAACCATGACAAAAAAAATTGAAAAATTGTCTGTCATGGTTTGGGCTTGTGTATGTTACTTGTATATTTAAACAACAAAAACTATTTTGAAATTAACAGAAACTATTCTACGAACATTATAAAACCATAAATTGTTTATTCAGAATGATTCTCGTGACAATTATTTTTAATATAAATGATTACCAGTAGACAAATTGACATCGCCATTTTTTTCTTTTCTAATTCTAATTCTTTTCGCATTTTAATTTTAAATATCAGAAAAATTAAATATTTGAATTTTAAAGCCAAAAAACAAGTTTAAAACAGCATGCTAAACTTTTTTTTTTCGCACACAAGCTCTTTACTTAATATATTCCCGAATCTATAAAATTAAAATTAACAGAAAAAGAAAAAAAATCATTTTTGAGTAGCTAGTAAATAAAGTTTCGAAATTAATTCTTAAATTTTTTTTTCATTTATTATTTGAATAAAGACAATTTGTGTGTATTCTTTAATTTTTAAATTAAAACACGTTTTTTCTTTAACCATAAGAGCAAAAGTTATTTGTAATTAGTAGAGTAATGAACACACAATAATTAAACACAAAAATTTTAATTATAAAACTGCGTGTGTTTCACTGATTTCCAGTTCTATATATATTTTAAATAAAAATTATAATTCTAATATTTTTTTTCTAAAAATAATATTTTATTTGTTTTAATTATTCAAATGAATTTAATCTTCATTTATTATAAATTTTTTTTTTATTCAACTACTACTGGTATTAAACAATCATTATTATATTTAAAATATTTAAATATTTTAATACTGATTACACATTAATAAAAAACAAATTTATAAATTTTATTATTAAAATATTTAAAATTTTATACACATATTTTTAATAGGATTAACAGATGATGATGACTTTATTGTTCTATTCTATCCTATATTAAGGTTTACAAATTAAAATTCCTCCGGATTTCTTTTAAATTCAATTAATTTATTTATTTTTTTTTCACTTTACTACATTTGAGATCATTAGGCCCTCCCACATAACATTATAATTGAGTTAATGTTATGTGGAAATCATTGAGTTAACTAGGCAATTTACTAGTCTATCGTAGTTTTTTCTTCACATTACGGTTATTGATGTTTGTTGCTAATTTTTGTTCTTATTCTATTATGAATATAATAGACTAGTAATAGACTCCTTACCAGGATTTTAACAAGAGATCCTTCGGTTAAATGACCACTGCCACAACCACTGCCATAACAACAAACGGTACCATTTGTGAGATTGAATGGTGAAAGTCCTATTAAAAATGAATATCATTCAAGATTCATGGATAACGTTCAATTGGTATTTCCCATATTTGTATTTATGTAATATTGATTAATATAGGTAAGCTACCCGATGGTTAAATAATTACAAAATAGACTTATTACAGCGACGAAACAACTTTTTGTACTTCTTCTAATTACAAATAAATAAAATTCATTAACAAACTGTTAAACATAATAGCATTATATTAGTTAAGTTCGCAACCCGTAAAAAGAAGCAAGACTCCATTATGTCCAATACTTCTTTTGTCAGACTTTAAAACAAATTTTGTATTTTAACTGTTATTTAAATGAATATTTAATAAAATTAGAATATTTCAGAAAATTATTTCTCACAAATAAATTTCATTCACAAGCAAACTCCAAAATTCTTTAAAATTTCGAAACCCCGAAATTAAAACAATGCTTTTGAATATTTTTATACAATTATGAATACATTCTGTTGTATAATCAATTTTTCAATTCTAAATTTTCCAAGGGAAAATTGTCAATAAGACTTATGAACGGAATTTAACTAGATAATTGAATTCTGATAGCGGGACTTATAACTTACAAATGTAATAAAGTTAATACCTTACGAGTATTCTCCGATCAACTGTAACTATAAACACGTGATTTCTTTTGTACTGTTTCCACAAGTAAATGGAGGAAATAAAAAAAAAGTGTGTTACAAATTTGCAAGCAAGTTTAATGATCAAACCGAGAACATGGTTTAGAATATAAAACAGCATTATAAAATCAAAATAATTTTATATAAATTTTATTTTTATATTAATTAAAATTATTATTTATATTTATTAAATTTTAATAATTAAATTTTGACATATACAAAATTAATTTTCATAACCAGTCTAATCTTTTGTTTTATAATTATAGAAAATTTTCCAAGGTAATTGCAGTGTCTTTTAGCATATAATAAAAATATGAATAAGTTTTAATAAAAATCACGAATATTTTTTAATCGTGGAATTAATTTTGCAAAAAATAACCAATATTATTTCTAATATAAATTAAAATGTTTTATAAAATTATTTTGTATTTAAAGAATTGACGTGAACTTGTTCAAAATGAATTAAAATTAATTGAAAAGAAAAATTTTGATTTAAGAACAAAAAAAACTATCGAAAATTAAAGCAAGAAAGCAATTTTGATAAAACGGTTGATCGACTTGATCATAAATCATTTAATCGATAAAGCTTAAATCTTTCAATAAAAATAGAATATTGAAATTCGATTTAGATAAATTTTATATTATCCGGATTCTATAACAACAACAATAATATTAAATACAAAAAAAAAACAAATTATTCAAATGTGTTATAAATATTCAGAATATTTAATAATGTATAACAGATAAAAGCGACACAATAATCATTTATTATAAATTATGTTGTGGAAGAATGAAAATAGTGTAACTTCCTCTATAGTTATAAAATCTCCAGATTATTATTGGTTATTAGTCATAATTATCAGTGGCGGATCAAAATTAAAGCGGGTCTTAGGAACCATTATAATTTTGATTTTTTTTTCAGTCATGTGTCTATAGTATGTAGTTCTACATAATTATCGGATTCGAAAAAAATAAAAGAAAAAATTAGTATACATGAACAAAAATTAAAAACACACAATTTATTAAAACAAAGAAACATATGAATAACATTATATTATACTAGTTTTTATATATTAATAAAGTTGAGACAAACCAATGGTTTGTATTGTAGCACTTTTTCTTTCAAGAAAAGAAAATACTGCTTTAAAAAACATTCTATGTATATCTACCACATTATTAAAATTATTTTCATTCATAAACGAAACTATTTCTAGGATTGCATATATTTAGGATGAACGATTTATGCAGTCTTTGAAATAAAGCGAAAATTAATATAAAGAGGGGTTAACATAATGCTGAATTTTAAACGTTAATTACGTGAGTTAATAAAAATCATTATATTTTTTAATGTCATGGAATTTACCGTTAGCTTTTGGCATTCATAGAAATTTGAAAAAGCTTGCGGTTTAGAAAATATAAGGCGTCAAAAATTCATATTTTACAAATTTCAAGACGCGATAACTTGAGAGGGGCTGGAGATGGAAAAAAAATTTCTTCTAACGAAATAAAGTATTTATTAATGGCTAAAAGCTGCGAAGGGTCTTGAAGAAAAAAAACATCAAAAATTTGGAAAAGAACAGACTTTAGATAACGGTAAATTTGAACGGCCATTTTGTTTTTTTAAAGTTTAACTATAGTATGCCACGA